TTCATTTCTTAACAGATATAAGACGAAAATTTCAAATAAATATTAGGCTAAGGCTAATTAATATGTTAACTAAATAAATTAAAGATTTGTCTTATCATTCTTGCAGAACACTGTTTGTTCCATCCAAATCCAACAATGGAAGTTGGGAGCGCTCTTTTGTCAGTAACGTTCGAGGTATTGCTCTCGAAGTTGAATTCCTCTGTAATGGAATGGGTGAAGTTACCAAAGATCGTTCGTGCCGAGATGCAGAACTGGAGTAGTCTTTTGCCAAAAATTGGTGTTCTACTTGAAGATGCCGAAGAGAAGCAAGAAACAGACCGCGTGGTGAAGTTATGGCTTGCTGATTTCAGGGATTTGGCATATGACATGGAGGACATGCTTGAAGAGGTCGAGATTGATGCCAAGAGGTCTGAGCTGACTGCAAAAGCCCAAGCCAGCACAAGTAAGCCACGGCAACTGACCTATCCCAAATTGTTTAATAAGGTTACAAGGTTCAGGGCTGATCGAGATCGAGAGATGGCTTCCAGAGTGAAGGATATAACTGCTAGATTGCAAAATATTGAGGCCAACATAAGTAAGTTGGGCCTGATCAGTTCGACTATGAGAACTGGAGACAAGTTTCACAAATTAGCTGCAGAAAGATTGCCCACTACTCCTTCACCTGAACATCATATCTGTGGTAGGGAAAATGAAAAAGAGGCTATTCTTAAGATGTTGCTCACTGATGAAAGCAAAGATGAGCCATACTCTGTTATTCCCATTGTTGGAATGGGAGGATTGGGCAAGACCACTCTTGCTCGGCTTGTTTATAATGATGAAAAATTGAAGGGCATGTTTGGATTAAAAGCATGGGCTTGTATTTCTGAGCAATTTGATGTTTTACGAATAACAAGATCCATTTTGGAGCAAGTAACTGGGAAAAAGTGTGACTTAGAAGATCTTTCTTCACTTCAAGACAGATTGAAGGAGAAGTTCTCTGGCCGAAAGTTCTTTCTTGTACTAGATGACATTTGGAATAAAAAGTATGGCTTGTGGGATGAGTTGCGGAAGCCTTTTTTGTCAGGAGCATTTGGAAGTAAAATAATCATCACAACTCGAGATGAAGATATTGGGAAGATGATGAAGGGAAATGATAAAGTTTACAGCTTAGAATTGCTAGAGAATGATGCATGTTTATCACTATTTGCACGTCATGCACTGGGGGTAGAAAACTTTGATGCATACCCAAATCTCAAAGGAGTAGGTGAGAAAATTGTTAAAAAGTGTAAAAGATTGCCATTGGCTATAAAAACCCTTAGCGGCCTCTTGCGTGGTAAGCCACATCTTCATGAGTGGAAATACATATTGAATAGTAAGATATGGGATTTACCAGAAGACAGTAGTGACATTCTTCCAGCTCTGAGATTGAGCTATAATCACCTTCCTTCTCCTTTGAAGAGATGCTTTGGTTATTGTTCTATATTTCCTAAAGATTATGAATTTGATGAGGCTGAGTTGGTTTTGCTATGGATGGCCGAAGGACTTTTGCAACAACAACCACAGAGAATGAAGCAAACAAAAGACCTTGGGCATCGCCACTTTCGTGATTTATTGTCGAGGGCTTTTTTTCAACGTTCCAGCAAAGATGCGTCATTGTTTGTGATGCATGACCTCATGGTTGATTTAGCCATTCATGTTGCTGGAGAAACATGTTGCACCCTTGAATTAGATGGAAAAATATCAAATGTGAGCTTTCAAAAAGCCCGTCATTTGTCATTTCCTAGAGGAAAAAGGGAATTTATGGTGTCAAAAAGATTTGAATTCCTGGAGGAAAAAAGGAATTTACGTACATTCTTGCAGTTGACAGATTCTGACTCATGGCATCGGTCTTGTTTCTTATCCAACACAGTCTTGCAAGATTTGATGAAAAATCTAAAATGTTTAAGGGTGTTGTCTCTTCCATATTACAGGATAACGAAGCTCTCTGATCGAATTGGAGACTTGAAGCATCTGCGATTCATTAATTTGTCTAGTACACAGATTGAAAGTCTTCCTGAGTCAGTGGGTTATCTTCCTTACTTACAAACATTGTTGTTAAGGAACTGCGAAAAGGTTTCCAAGTTGCCTACCACTATTGGAAATCTACTTGATCTCCAACATCTTGATATAGCTGGGACATCATCTTTAAAAGAGATCCCATCAGAAATCAGTAAG